ACTAACCCGGGCTAGGAATATAATAGGGTTAGGAATTTAAATGTCCATAGCACTCAAACTGTAACTTAAAGCCACACACTTTGGACTTTTCTACCACCTATTCTGCAAGCTCCCTGAGAGTTAACTCCTTTGTCACCAAACCCAGCAATGCCTACTGGGTATGCCCAATGATTTGGTTAGAGCATCACTTGGAGTCTTACTTCCTCCAGGTTTTACCAGCTGCAAAAGAAAGGAGGAGGCGGAGAGAAGAGTTAAACAGGTTCAGAACTTGGTTCAGCTCAGAATGCCCGTGCCCAAGGCAGAGCACAGAAAACTGGGGAAAGACGAGAGGCTGTCGCAGAAAGCACCTTGTCAGACACACTTGACTCTGGTCTCCAAGTTGGCGCGTTAGTCTGGTGGGTCCCTCTCACGTCTTGTGGGCACAGCCTAGACAGATCGTGAAGGTCTGAAGACATCACTCAGGCTGGGGACACAGTCAGGGGTGGGGCAGGGACGTTGGATCTGTGGGAATGCCAGCGACTGTGTGAGCCTTGCCTGTCCCTGCATTCCTGGAAAAGCTGCAGCTTTTCAAGGGTTGCAAACAGGAGACCAAAGTGCGCAAGAAAAACGGGAGCTCATCTTAATCACTGACTCCTTGCCCCCTTCCTTTTAGCTGCCCAGCTCTTCCCTGGCACCCTTTCAGGTACCCTCGCCCAATCACGACTAAACCCCGGAGAAGTGGAATCTCCACACAGGTTTCCGTGGGTCTAACAGGGGTCTGGGCATGCTCAGTAGGCTACGTGGTTCTCTGGTTCTCTCTCTCTCTCTCTCTAGGGGGAGGGTGGGTGGTGACAAGTTAGAAGCTCTTGCGGCAGGTCTCCGCCTCCAGGATCGGGCTTCCCCTGCAAAGGGACGAAGCAAAGGTATAAACACCCGGCTCCGCAGCATCCCGACCTGGAGGGGCTGTGCCTGCGGGCCGAGCCCCCCAGCATCCCCGCCTGAGGACGGCCCGCCGCTCTCCATGGTACTGCGGAGAGCTCAGCTCCGCCCTTCTCTTTCAGAAGGACAGCACCCGGCGTCACGTAACCCAGCCTTCTCAGGCTCCACCACCGCCTCCTCCTTCCCAGCTCTTTCCCTCTCTTCCTCCTCCTCCTGCTCCCCTCCGTTGCCTGTTCTCCCCTCCCGCACTCCTGGAGATAGACGCTCAAGCCTGACGCCTCTGAAAAGGCAGCGGCAGTCGCCTTATCCACAGACCTCAGGAAATTCGCTTTGACCGATGCATGCTTCAGGCTCTGGGTCGAGCTAAGGGGAATAACCGGGCAGGTAAAGAAGCTCAATTTGGGTTGGGGGAGGGGATGGGGCGAGGCAACCTGGAGAAGGATATATTTCCCTCCTAGTAACTGAGCCAGGATCTGCCACAAATGCACAAGGAAGGATGGGTGGTGGGAGGGTGGAGGAGTATAGATCTTCGTTGTTTTGCATGAAGCTTTTTAAATAGATGGCAAGAAGACGAGATGGTGGAACTGAGGTAGTAACTTAAAGGCTGAATGCAGTGATTTATTAGCAAAAGAAAGAAAACAGGCAAGTTAGAAACGAAAGCAATAAAATATATCTGTATCTACATCTTTCCCTTCCCCATCAGCCCCATGCTGTGCCTATCCTTAATTTGTGCAGTTGACTCCAGGCTCCAAGAAACTGCACTGGTATTAGAGATGGAGCTTAGAGACTGGGCGGGAAAGCCAGGGAGAATTTGGGTGTGCATTGGTATTGAGGGACTTTGCAAAAGCAAGGTGGTGGTGGTGGGGAGCGTTTCTAAAAATTATCCCAAAGATTTCAGGTTCTTTGCGATGGTCTATATTGAAGGATGCATGGAAAGATATGCGTGCATATGTGTATGTGTGTTATAAACATATTAAAATAAATGCAACTGCAGCGGATGAGCCTACAGTATCGATCCTTCCAGTGGCTTGGGAATGAATTTGATTCTAGAAATGAAAGAAAAGATTAATGAGGCTGTTAGGCTGCTTTTGAATTAGAGCGCTTCTTCCTTTGGCTGCAGTAAGGTTGTTTTTCAGATCCTTTTATTTCATCCTCTAATTTGTGAACTCACCAGGTTTTTCCGGCACCTAGAGAGAATCCTCTTTCTCCATATAAATACAGATACTCTCTCACACACAATGATCTTCCTCTAAGGACTGGGAGAGTCAGTTGACCTCCTCTGTGGTAAGAATATATGTGTCCCCCCCCCACACACTCTCTATTCCTTAAAAAATCGTCAAGGTATGCATTAGTGGAGGAGTGCAGGAGAGAGGGGTGAAGAAAGGTTTTGTGATCCATGTAATATTAATTAATAAAATAATCGGCTCCAGTTGAGTCACACGCGTGCGTGCACACACACACACACACACACACACACACACACACACACAAAGGTTTTCTAATACATAAGCTTTTGGATGGTTTCAAAGCACTACTCTTGATCCTTAAATTCCAGATTCATTTTGTAAATGACTGAAAATTTGGCAGATGCCTGAGTCCACTTAAAAATTAGAGTATATTGAATAATATGCTATCTTAGGATGATTTTTAAGAGCACCTTTCTTTGGGTTTGGCACAGAAGTAGACAAGATATGGCTGGTGATTGCTGTTGGAGTGGGATGTATCAGCCATAATAAATAAGCAACTGAGATTTTAATTTATTTTGTTATTTCTGCTGGGCAATGTGTGTGTGTATGTGTTGTGTTGTGTGTCTGTGTTGCAAAAGAGGGAACCAGTCATCAATTTCATCTGGGGAGGAACTTGAAGTGGGATCCCCTAGCCTGGTGGTGGCTCTCAGCTGACACCTGTAGGGATTGCTCTGTACTGAAGAGAAATGCTCTCAGCTCCCTCCATGGAGGAGCAGCAACACAATGCGGTGCCATAAATTACTGCTAGTTTCAGCTTGTAAGAAAAAAAAAAGTGTTAATTGGATAGTGAGCTTCTGTGTCCAGGCAATAAATGTGTGTGTGTGTGTGTGTGTGTGTGTGTGTGTGTGTACACAGGGGGTGGTGTGGTATAGTGGGAAATGCTGAGGGAAATGCATGTGTTTGCTTGACATGACCAGATGAACCATTTGTGATTTTTTTTTTTTTTTGGTCAAAATGTGAGAGTAATGTTTTTTGGTAAAGAAAAAAAAAGAGAGAGAGACAGAGAGACTTAAAAACAACCCACTGCTTAGATTTCTGTACCATTTCAGGAGCCTGTCAAATTGGGGTTAAATAAAGAGGTGATTTTCATAGTGAGTGATTCAAAGATATAATTTTATATTCCAGCATCCTGGAGCCATAGCATCTAAGGTGACACACATGCCAACTGCTGTTCTGACCACACAAATTCTAAGAGCTGACAGCCAGATAAGGACTTGAAGAGGAGTTAAGATCACTGCACTGTGGCAAAATATTAAATACTTTACCCGTCTTTAGAGGATTTAATATTATGGCAATTGAAACATAAATGCTGCTCCAAATAGAGATGACTTCAGTTAGATGTTTTCTCCTATAACAGATATTCCTTTAATAAAAGGGGAGAAAATGCGTGTTTGAAGTTTAAAAGAGACTCCCAAGAAACTATCAATATTCTTTCTCTGGAAACCATAAAATGGTAGGAATGCTATATAAATCCAAGCCAGCAGCGTCCAGTTGCAGTCTGGTCTGCTTTGCCTATTGTAAAATCTGTATTAACTGAGATTTGAATAGGTTGTATTCTTATTGTCCATGCCATCAGTACACATTACGAGCAGAAGTCCTTAAAGGGGCCTTTTTCTTCCTCCTATTTAAAAAAAAAAAAAGAAAAATTAAACTTTCTCAGAAAAAGTAAAAGATAGCCATAAACAAATCTCTACAAAATCCTGAGAGGGTTACCTATTAACAGTCATAACAAACTGCAAGGGTGTAATGAACTTATTGTAAAAGTGCAATATTAACTATTCGGAGACATTAGGTCTTCCTTGATAGATCAAGACAAATGAGCCCCTTCTAGTTAAGGTTAACTGTGGCTTCCTAACAGCTCTAGTTACATACCTGGTTTCTGAGCTGAATAGTGACTTCTATGATACTATACATGACTTTAGAAATTAATTTTTATTTTAATTCTCTGCAGATTTTCTGGGTCCTTATAAAAAGACAAAACCAAAATGCATCACCAACACACAACCAATTGACATGCTGGCATCTTAGCTTGGCCTTGCAGAGGCAAAGAGAAAAGAAGAGGAGCTGTTGTGACATCTAACAGCTTCTGGCTCTTCCACAGCTTCTGGGTTTGAACCCTACCGTCGGGGAGGGGAAAAAAAAAAAAAAAGAAGTAAAACCCAGCCTGCGAGGCCATGCATAAGGAAGTCTGCGTTGGCTACAGTGGTGCAGGAAAGTCCACGATATGACCGAAGAAGCAGGCCTTTGAAGCCACTCAGGGGTTAAGTGGTGCCGTAAAGAGGCAAGGAACCTGTCACTCCCTTCTGCTTTGGGAACACCACATCTGGAGGAGAAACAACTTGAGGCTTTTGCAAGTATCCAAGGATCCTGGCTCCTTGCTGGCTTCTTGTACTTCCCTGAGAAGCATTTCCTCCTTGCCAGACCCTGACTGCTTCCCTGTTGCCCGGTACCCCTGACGGTACCTGGCAGATAATATTATTTGAGCAGCGAAGCGGCATCTCCTGACACCACTGATGCCCTTGAACTAGGTCATCGGATTCAAATGGATAAGGGACTCCCCCTGACCGCCTGTTGACGCCTTTTCCAGAACGTTGCTTCCAAAGTGCATCCTCCCTTTGGTCTGGAAGCTCTGCTGCTGCCCTGTACCCCCCGGGGTCTGCGTCTTCCAGTTGGGAGGGGACTATCGGGAGAGAGGGAGGGGCTGCTGGAAGAAGAAGAAGAAAAAAAGAGCTAGATACCGGAGGGTGCGTCCCTCCCGCTCCGGGCCCCCCACCCCCCACCCCGCCCGGCTCCGGACCCCCGTTTCTGCATCACGGTGTCCAGGACCACGTTGACCCTGTCGGCCCCGGCACCCCCCCGCCGCACCCCAGCCCCGAGCATGGGGACGGCGCTCCTCCAGCGCGGGGGCTGCTTTCTGCTGTGCCTCTCGCTGCTGCTCCTGGGCTGCTGGGCGGAGCTGGGCAGCGGCCTGGAGTTCCCGGGGGCCGAGGGCCAGTGGACGCGCTTCCCCAAGTGGAACGCCTGCTGCGAGAGCGAGATGAGCTTCCAGCTCAAGACGCGCAGCGCGCGCGGCCTCGTGCTCTACTTCGACGACGAGGGCTTCTGCGACTTCCTGGAGCTCATCCTGACCCGCGGCGGCCGCCTGCAGCTCAGCTTCTCCATCTTCTGCGCGGAGCCCGCCACGCTGCTGGCCGACACGCCGGTCAACGACGGCGCCTGGCACAGCGTGCGCATCCGCAGGCAGTTCCGCAACACCACGCTCTTCATCGACCAGGCCGAGGCCAAGTGGGTGGAGGTCAAGTCCAAGCGCAGGGACATGACGGTGTTCAGCGGCCTCTTCGTGGGCGGGCTGCCCCCCGAGCTGCGCGCCGCGGCGCTCAAGCTCACGCTGGCCGCCGTCAGGGAGCGCGAGCCCTTCCGGGGCTGGATCCGCGACGTCAGGGTGAACGCCTCGCAGGCCCTGCCGCTGGACAGCGGCGACGTGAAGCTGGACGACGAGCCGCCCAACAGCGGCGGGGGCAGCCCGTGCGAGGCGGGCGACGAGGGCGAGGGCGGGGTGTGTCTCAACGGGGGCGTGTGCTCGGTTGTGGACGACCAGGCGGTGTGCGACTGCTCGAGAACCGGCTTCCGCGGCAAGGACTGCAGCCAAGGTAAGGCCCGACGCCGGACTCCCCCTCCCGGGGGCGGGGGCGGGGGCGGGGGCGCGGGGGGGGGCGAGGTCGGGGCGGGGCGCGGGGGTGGGGGCAGGGCGAGGCAGGCCCCCCTCGCGGGCGAGCCGCCAGGTGACCACCTGCTTGCGGCCTCCCTGCCTTGCCTGCACGGCCCGCAGCTCCTCCTCTGGCCTCCCCCACCCCCTGGGCCCGGAGTCCCCCTGGGAGCCGGCCCTCTGGGCCACCGCTTGCAGCCCAGGGGCGAGCAGAACGGGTCTGCTCGTCTTCAGATCCCTCGGGTTCCTTGCCAGGCTGCCCCCCACCGTCCCTGGGCCATGGCCCGCCTGCACAACCGCTGTGCTTTCCTCGCCCGCCCGCCCCAAGCCTGTAATACACGGAGCTGTTCCCCCTCGGGTGCAGGCGAGCCTCTAGATTGGGCAGCCACGTGGTGAAGAAGCAAGGGCAGGCGAGGTTGGCTACGCTTGAGCACCTCCACGTTGCCTTATGCGTGGGGAAGGACACAAGGGGAACAGGGTCCCTTTGAGAAGTATAAAGTCCTGCTCCTGGTTGTGGGAAAAGGAGGATGTGTGTGTGTGTGTGTGTGTGTGTGTGTGTGTGTGTGTGTGTATGGGGTGGAGGGTGGGGGTGGGTGTATGGGGGGGAAGGTTTTCTGGATAGAAGAAAAAGGGTTCTTGGAATCAACGTTACTTTCCATGGTCATGTCCAAGTCCAGCATTTGTCAGTCTAGGAAAAATTAAGTGATTTCTGGAAGCGGAAGACAGGTCAGCTAATATTTACACATGTTAGAGATTAAATAACCTATTTCTTAATTAGCAGATGTCTTGGGAAGATAAATGGCACAGAAATTTAGACATTGTTGTCCTAGGAAGGTTCTGTAAGCTAATAGATAGAGGTGGGTGGGTGGGTGGTGTTGCATATGAAGGATTGCAAAAGATTTTCCGAGTACGTTTAGCTAATGAGGTTTATCCGAGTTGTGGAGGCCACGTTGTAATTTTTGTTGTTTTAAGCACTGAAAGTGTGGAATGAAAAAAAAGAAAACCATACCTAAGTTTTATTTTCTCCCCTTAATAAATAAAATTCAGCCATTAATGTGTCTACAATGTTGCTACATGACCATGACCAAGGAAAAATTTTGTATAAATACCGGAAAGCCTATGAACAGAAAGTGACTGATAGGAAAAAGAGGAAACATTGGATATATTTGTGGCTGAGCGGGAGAGATGTCAGGTTTTAAAGTAGACAGCTTATGGGTCAAATCAAGACGGTCACCACATGGATAAATGACATTTATGGCTGAAATTATTTTCTAAAAGATAAATTATTAAATCTAATTTTGAAAGCTGTGAGGACAAAAGCTCTATGTGTGGCTGAATTTTATTGTATAATGTCTCTCTCTCTCTCTCTCTCTCTCTCTCTTTTTTTTTTGCTGACACTGCTAAGAGGAACTAGCCCTTGTAAATCTTATTAGACTTGGCAGTTTTCTCTCATCGACTTTTAAGAGAAATGAAGACTTGATAAAATTTGTAATTGTTTAAACAGCAAAGGGAGTTTGTTAGGAAGAAAAAAAAAAGCTGGTCATCGGAAAAAAAAAGAGTTCTGTAGCCTTCATGGGTTTATAGGAAAAAAAAAAAGTAAAGGCTTATTTTATTGTTGTCTGCCTTCATGAAGGTTTTTGTTTTCATTAGGTTTTGGCTTAAATAAATACAGAAGACTGTGTATCCTATGGCCTATACTGCACTTCAGCTTGGCCAGTAAATTTCCATGGATTTAGTACCAGGCTTTATAGTTAGGTTTTGCAAAAATAAAACAGGACATGCTTTTCCTCTCCCAAATCTAATTTAATTGCAAATCTTGAATGAAATAGCAGGTACACGTGACGATTTGCTGTATTATAATTTGAAGCTCCATATCTCTGCACTGATTAATAGAAATAGTTTTTTTTTTAAATGAACATTATTTTAAGGGGAAAATTGCTCTACGTATCCCAATGCCACTTTAAAATACAGAGCAGGCAATTTAATGAAGGACACATAAGATATAACTTCCTTCCTTAAATTAGGAAACAAATATGACACAATGACAGCTTGTTCTGTGTGGGAGGGTGTTTTAAATTAAAATTTTTATTTTCTTGTGCATTTTAAATGTAGGGATCCAGGGATCATGCATAATCAGGAACACTTAAGTGTGGAGAAAGCGTGGCAAAAGTAATACGTTGAAGAGAAGCAGAATTAAATGTTTCTGAAATGCATTTCATTTTGCCAGTGGATAGGCTCTTTCCATAAGAGGAAGAATTTGGAATTACCAAGATACATAATTGAACAGTATAGTACCTGATGCATAAGGTAATTCAATTCAGAAAGGAAAATCCAACAGGATGGTTCTGGAGCATTGATTCGTTTTGAAAATCTGATCTGAAAACGGAGTGCAAAGATCACCACTAGTCATGAAAGGAAAACAAAAGGCTGGATTCTTTGATTATCACAGAAATGGGAAATGGAATGATAAAGGCAGAGTCAATCTGCCCAGAAGGATTGGCTCCACTTTTATGTATTTTCTTTATTTCATGTGTGTCAAGTGACTGTTAAATAATTAATTGAGAATGGATGCCTCTCCCAACACCAATCATGTATTGATGGCCAGGGATAGATGGTTTCTATTCAGAGGAAGTATGAGCAGAGCCCTGCGTCTAGCCAGTATTCACACTGATTGTCACATTCCTTTTAAAAACTAATTTAAAAACAAATCCACATTCATCAGAGAAAATTTAGGGAAAAAATCAACAGCAAACGTTAAACAAGATTCAAATTATATCTAGTTCTAACCACAATTTCTTTTTTAACTTAATAAAGCCTAATATTTAGTAGCCTTCGTATTAAAAATATAGTAAGAACAACTAAAAGGACAATGGTAATATTCTTTCTCTCTCTCTCTCTCTCTCTCTCTTTTTTTTTTCTGGCCCAGAATGTCTTGCAGCAACTTCTGCATCTATGGTTTTCTAGAATATTTTTATTTAATAGTGCAGTTTCATCCTTACTCTAATTTATTCAAGCCTAGCAAGATTTATTTATATTTATTTATTTATTTATTTATTTATTTATTTATTTATTTATTTAGTGATGGAAAAAGAACACCAGAAAGGTTATGTGTCATGACCAGATTAGTGGCAGAGCCCACATACAAGTGCAGGCACTCTTATTCTAGAGCCCTGTATTATCTTCTCTGCTGAATAAGGTTTCCATTTTACTAGGATTGATATTTTTTCATGTTCAGGCATTATTCAAGAGAAAAAAAATAAGTATAAATCGCTGATGGGACAGAACTAACTTATGTATCACTTATGTTCTTTGACCCTGAAAGTGAGCCTCAGAACTCTGCTATCCAAGAATGTCATCTTTCCTGAATGATGGATGCTTTGGGGGTACAGCGCTTTTTCAGTGAATCATACTCCTCTAAGTGCTCCAGGACCATTATCACTTAATATGTTTCTACCTAAGAGGACTAATAGTTTCTTAGCAGCTTAAAAGAATTAGTGAATTCCATGGCTATCCAGCTTAAAAATAAGAATAAAAAGCTGATCAATGAGAAGTGAGGTTACACTTTTTAAAATGATTTCCAGGTTTCATGCATTTTAGGATCATTTATATTAAAATTTCATATTAGACTCTTGAGGGTCACTTTTATTTACTTTTCCTATTAAAGTGGCCATAAAGAGATAAACCTTTCAATGGCTTATTACTAAATATTACTAAACATGGTAGTGTGATAGATATCACTTAATAAAAGCCCATACTTTCTAGGACTTTACTAATGTGACCAGATAGACAACCATATTCACTTAGTCATTTCTATGTTCGACAAATATTGATTGAATGCTTTGTATGTGTCTGAATAGCAGGCTCAGGTAATGAAATGGTGAGTGAACTCCCAAACAGTTCCTACCTTGCTAGCCCTTGCATTACATTGTGGAGACACAGTTATTTAAAAAATAAGTAAAAGGAAACTTAAAATGGTGGTATGTATTTTGGAGGACAGATACATGGTATTGTGAGAATTTTAAAAAGTGTGAACTAATTTAATCAAAGAAGGTTTCCCTGAGGATTGATTGATGTTTAAAATCTGAGAGATGAGAAGGAATTAACCATGTAAACATAGAGGAGAAATACTGGGTACAAAAGCCTGGTATAGAAGTTGGTGTGGCATATTCATGCAACTGAGAGAGGGCCCTTGAGTTTGGAGCTCTTAGCAGACTGGCGTCAGGTCTTTCAGGGCCTTCTAGACCATATCACAGATTTGAATCTTATGGTAAAAGTGATGGAAAAAATAATGGTAGGAGTTAGTTTGGAAGGTGGAGAGGAGGGTGCCATTATCAAATTTATATTTCAAAAATGTCACTCTGGCTATAGTTTAGAGAACAGTTAATGGGGGGTGGGGGGCGGAGAAAAAGAGAAAACCTTGTTTTCTGTTTGCCAGTCAACAAAATATGTTTAAGCACCCATTGACAGCTGTAGACTGAACTAGAAGAACATAGGGAAAAACAAGATTCTGTCTTTAAGGAGCTTAGAATCATTGTGAGTTTGGTTATATATAGAAATCTAAGGCCTTTTTTTTGTTAGGAACACTTGGTTCTATCTGTAAAAGTATCAGAATCCTTTCTGTGGATTATCATGTGGTTTCCTCAGATAAACCCACCAAATCTATAGGCTTCTGGAGCCCATTGGCAATGTCATACCATGTTGTATCTCCTCCCCCCCCAAGAACCTTACTCAATATGCCTTTCTTGTGACAGTATATATTAGCTGATTGATTCTAGGCTTTCAATATTTTAGCTGCTGCAATAAAGAAAAATACTACTTGGATACTTAATTTTTAAATTCATTTTATTTGAGGATTTTATTATTATTAAGAAAACCTTTAATAGAACAGCATTTATAAAAACTGTCACTCTCCATATAAACTTACTTGTCTCAATCCTATATTTA